CAACCCCATTTTGTTGTGGAGTATAGCTCACAGTTTTATGTCTCATTATCCCTTGTTTACTACAATATTGATCAAATTCCATATTGCAAAATTCAAGCCCATTGTCAGTTCTCAAAAATTTTATCTTCTTACCAGTCTGATTTTCAATCAATACATTCCATTCTTTGAAAATTGCAAAAGTATCAGACTTAGATTTTAATAAGAAAATCCATGTTTTTCTTGAATAGTCATCAGTGGTAAGAAGATAATATCTGTAGCCAGATACTGTAGAAACAGGTGCTGGTCCCCATAAATCAGAATGGATATATTCAAGGATATCTTGGGATTTGTGCAGCCCTGCCTTAAAAGGCAGTCTGACTTGTTTTCCCATAATACAGTGTTCACAGAAGGTCAATTTTTGAACACTGTCCTTCCCAAATACCCCTTGGATTGATAGAGTTTTTAAACCTTTTTCACTTAAATGGCCAAGTCTTTTATGCCACAATTCTGATTTATCGGGATGGGTGACAAAATTCACAGAATTTTTAGGTGAAACAATTTCAGCACCTATTACATAAATTCCATTGAGCTTAGGTGAACTAACAATAAGTTCTTGATTTCTTGTTATATTTGTAAAACCATTTTTAATACCAATATGATATTTTTCATCATCAAGAACTCCTAGGGATATGAGATTCCTCCTAAGTGCTGGAACATATCTTGTATATTTTAGTAACATATGTTTCCCATTTTTAAATTTCAGCAGCACATTTCCAATTCCTTTCACTTGGCATGACTCATCATTTCCAAGTTTGACAGATCCACCATCCAGACTACAAAAGTCTGAAATACAGCCAATATTGGGTGTCATATGAAAGGAACAACCTGAATCAAGGACCCAGTCCTAATCAGTATTTTCAGTTAAAGACACATAGGCAACTCCAATATTGGCCCCATCTTCTTTATGCTTAGCAATAACTGCTAAAGAAGCATTTTCAGTGTTAAAACCATTCTTCTGATCATTTGTCTTTTTAAAACAATCTTTAATAAAATGACCAGGTTTTCCACAATAGAAACATTTCTTATTACTATTGTTGCTGTTCAGTTTTCCTCTAATTGGTTTCTTGCCTTTTCCTTTGGTGTTATTCCATTGTCTTTTATTGAAATTTTTGTTCTTGTTAAAATTTGAAAAACTGAGATTACTTACACCTTTGGCATGTGATTTTTGATTGGATGACACACCCTCAACATGGAACACATCTTTGTGTTCAGATTTTAATTCAAGTTCTCTGTTCAAAAGAGAACTATGAATTATTTCAACAGTCAAATCACTCCTACCATACTCTAGGGCATTTCTAATGTCTTTATATTTATCTCCTAGAGCATTGAGCAGGCCCACTACCTTCTGTTCATCAGATATTTTCTCTTCGCAGTTAGCTAAGTCTTGTGTGATCCTATTGAATCTATCCATATTCTCTCCTGTGTCAAGATTAGGATCAAACTTAAAGCTAAAGAACTGTCTCCAAAGAAAGCATTTATTTGGAACAGTCTTTGTGAGGTAGTGTTTCTCTAAGGCATTCCATAATTCTACGGCAGTTTTAGTGTCTCCTACTTTCCTAATCACAGAATCAGATAAGTGTAGAAACAAAGTGCTCCAGGCCAATTCATCTTGTTCAGTTTTTCTAGCCTCAGTTAGGGTTTCAGGCCAAGATTCATCAATGGCCTTAGTACACTTTAACTGTAACATAAGTGCTTTCATTTTCTGGCGCCAGAGACTGAAGTCTCCTTTGCCATCCCAAACTTGGACATCTACCTTAGAGTTCATTGTGTGCTAAAGTGTGAATTGTATACAGATATGTTATAACAAGATGTATCACAACAAGTAATTCAGTCAACAAGATCAATGTCTAATTATTCCAATTTCACAGAATGTGTTTATTGTGCTTAAGTGTGGTGTGTACTGGAATATATCACTCAGATTAGTACACAATTAATATACAGATTACTTAAGCATACAGTGAATTCAAACACATAAGCTTACACTCAGTAGGCTACCATGAATTGTAAAGGCAGTGTATGTACCTTTAGCAATTATTCTTAAGCAATTAAACACCTGAGGAAATCAAAGAAGGTATTAGTACAGTTCACGTAGAATATACAGCAATTTAAACTATAAAAATAATTTTGGGAATTGCAGGTTTCTTGAACCGAAGCCCTAATCCCCAAAGTTTCTAGGGTTCTCTCAGGGAACCCTAGACAGAGGTAGAGTTAGGGGAGGTTCAATTGAAAATTTGTTTTAAAAATTTATTGTCCAAAAATTTTTACACACTGCAGGTACCAATACTACAAATTTTTCACAAGAATAGTGTCTACTGAGGACTGCAGGTTCTACAAAACCGCACACACATTAAAAATCAAGAAACTTTAGTTTCTTATCAAAGCAAATTCAATACTAATTATAAAAATTTAAACTCAGTAGCAACAATTTCTTTTCAAGATCGACACCAACAATTTTTAATTGCAAGAGCACAAACGATAGTTTTTCAGAATAGCTAATCTCTTTCAAGAAAATTCGATTACAGAATGCAAAGGGTGTAATGGCACACTAACAGTGCCTACACATCAAACGAACACGAAGAGGAATGATTACTCAACAATAATGTTGGCAGAATCAAAGAAACTGTCGTTTCCTTTTGGCTGACGACAAGGGTTTTCAAAACCCGTAACTAAAGGGAATGAAAACAAAAAAGTTCCTACGCTCTGATACCACTGTAGGAGCCAGGATACGCAAACAACACAGAACATTCACACAGCTAAAGACCAAAAGTGCAGATCTGAAGAAAATAAAACGCAACAGATTTTTCGGCCGAAGCCCCGAGGTTCAGCGATCAACAAGACCGCCTAATCCCCGTTGAGCATCCATGGAGGAATAAGCTCGAATCCACTAAATCAGCCAGCCAAAACCAACAAAGTATCGATTACAACGGAACACACAGTTCCACAAATTTCGCACAGCACAACACAACAGCTTCTCTACACAACAAGAACTCACACAAGAGTTCACAGAGCTAAGTTTTTCTCTACAAAGATCACTCAAGATCAATAACCCAAGGAATCACAAGAAAAATACAGAGAGAAACTCAAACCGAGAAGAAGCTGCGCGAATATGAAAAAGGGTCACAAACCCTAAAGTCTTTTGACTCAATTAAAAGGAGATAGCTCAATCATCTCAATCCAACGGCTCACCATTCACCACGTGTTGACGATCCACAAGAGTTGTTATTTTAAAAACTAAAAAAGTGTTTTAGTTAAAACCAAAATTGGTTCCAGATTCTTCCATTAAATGGGCTGTCAATCGGGTCATGGGCTGGGTCTTTACTTGGGCCACTTTAAGTAGCTGGGCTGGACTCCACAAAAGCAGCAACACACTTAACAATAACATTGGGATTTAATATGGCCGATTTTACGATAGTGAGTACAATATCGTTCTAATTTGGTAGCACAAATTTGATATCTGCTCTTCTGGGATTGAATAGAGTCAGCAGCAAGGTTCGGTGAACTAGAATTGATTTTGGGTGAGTGTGCCGTTGTTCGGGCTTGTCTCGATGAGCCAGCATGGCTGAGGACTCTTGCGAATTAGAATCACCATTAATGGTTGTACGACGAATAGCATCACGACGAACATATCTATAAGTGGCTTCATGATTCATGACTGGGTCATTTCTCAATATCTCACCACAGATTTGTTCAAAGTCTGCATTGAGCTCTCTAAGGAAGATGTGTACAAGTATTCATTCGACAAATCTTTTAAGGCAATAACATCATCAGGATCTTTCGTGATAATCTTATCACGATAATCTAGATCTTGAAAAATTTCGACGAGTTTACCATAATAGATGGAGAGTAAATGTCCACCTTGTTTGGTAGAAAGGGCTCGTTGATTCAGTGCAAAAATTTATTATTCATCTTACCTATTTTAGAATGCTTTAGCAAGAGCAATCCAAATTTCACGGGCAGTTCATCATCTATGATAGCATTTCATAATCTCCGATGACATAGAGGTCAGCAACTAGCCTTTGATCTTTTGATTCTCGGCATGCCACTTTGTACATGAAGTGTCGTTCCACTTTGGGTAAGGCGCATTTTTGCCCACAATATATTCCAACTTTTCATAGCTTGCAGTCTACATCTCCAAGATCTGGGACCAAGCATCGTAGTTAGTTTTGTTGAGAGTAATGTCGGCGTGGAAACCAGAAGATTCTAATTGGACAGGAATAACTGACATAGGGGCTTTGGTTTTATCGGTAGATTTTAGCTTGGACTGGCATAGTGACTTTAGTTTTATCGATAGTAATTTGAAAAATGTTGGACAGTCTAATAATTGCATAAGATGGTTCAGATGTACGGGCTTGTTTTGATACCAAGTAGGAAAATCAGAGAAAAATGGTGAAATACTGCATAAAGCTTTTCTTATGATATTTTTCTCTTCTAAACAATGAGCATAAATAGCTACTGTATATCTCTAATTTAGGAAAGCTATATCTCTCAATACAATCTACTTAATTACATAATCAATCTACATGAGTAAATCTTGGGTCCTGAATGGTAGTGGAAAAGAATCATA